TTCCCAAAAAAAGCACCTGCAATAGCACTCACCAGTCAACAAAGAACTCCAGGTAGCCTTCATTTGGTTTCTCCAGCTTCGGCGTCCCCATCTCCGCTTTCACTCCCACCAAGATGTCTGTGTGACCCTGCAGGCACGTACAAGAAGGGTCCTCACTCCAGGTAGGCAGCTAGGCACCCAATCACCACCACCTGCCCCATCTGGACAAGTACCCCTTGGAGCAGTGCTGGGACTTGGTAGGTGACTTCCAAGGAGGTGTTGGGACCTTCTGTTCTGGATAGGACCCCTCTTCCCCCCTGAGCTGGGCTTGGGTTTTGGGTTCCCCCAAGGGAAAGTTGTGTTCCACAAGCCACAGTGGGTGTGCACTGGCTTCGCCTGGGCAGGCACTGTGGTCCCAGCACTCACCAGCTTGACCCTGGCAGACCCGCTGGTGTTGGACACCACGTCTGTTTCCACTTGGACGCATCGGTAGTCCTCACAGCCACGGCCATCCACGCGGAGGTCTTCCTGAGGACAACAAGCACAACCTCCAGGCTGCAATGTCAAGCTGACCTTGCCCTGCCCACTTCTCTCTTCCTTTCCAGAAAGAGACAGTATAGCTTCTCCTTTTTTCTTAGCAGGACATCCAGAGCTCTGACCTAACATTACTGTAAGGGAAATGAAGTCATGGAGATGTTAAGAGATTCACCCAAAGCCTTACAGCTGGTGCGTCAGACCCCAAAGCATAAATCACCACTCAGAATATGCACCCAAAACCAAGCAACACCCATACAGGAGAAAAGCCACCCCTCTCCAAATCTGCAGTGCTGAAAATCATGCAGAGTTGGGTTGTCAGAAGTACAGGGCAGCAAAGCCTCGACCACAGCCCTCTGACCTAAATGCAACCAGACCCCCGGGGTCAGAACTTCCCACTGTCTTTGCGCCACAGCCACAGAGCTGTGCAATAGGTGCCAGGGACCACAGGACCTGCAGAGCTACAAAGTTTGGCTATTAAGCCTCTTAGGGGAAAAGCCAGATGACTCTTACTGTAGAAGATGACCTTTAGGGGCTCTGTGTGCTGCTGTCCTTTCTGCCCTCTTGTCTGTCTCTTCAACTGCAATACTTGGACGGTAACACGACGCACGCTGCAGGCCATACTGCACCTCAGCATCATTCGTGTTGTCACTCTAAGCATTCCAGTCTGGGCCATGGGGCAGCTCCCTGGGGGTTGTGCTTGGGCCCTTCCAACACAACTCTGCCTTTTCTTTTTTGAGTTTATTGACTAACAAGACACCTCAGTCTCTGGTATACCCTCTGCAAGAAGCTTTGGTTCCTTTCATCAATAACGAGAATCCGGGGGTTGCACCACTTCTAGACCTCAGCCCACAGAGCTGGAGAACACGGGCATGGTTACCAGCTCATACACACATAGCCACATCACTCTATCTACTCCTCTGCTCATATCCACTTTCCTTTTCTACTCTGTAACTTCTTTCTTAGGGAGAAAGTTGCCTCTCGTTATCTACAAAGTATCTTCACATTTGTTGAACCTTAGTAGATACACAGTTACTGCTAATCCACACCTAGGGAAGAAACAAATTTACTAACACTATAGTATTTGCACAGAGTTCTTATCACCTACAACTTCATTGTGCCCAACTAGAATTTGGTTTCCAGTACTTTTAGTTCTTCTTTCTCATGCGCTGAATTCAGCATGGTCACAGGATTCATGTGTAACAGGCTCGTGTGCAACTTTGTTTTCAATTTTCCTTTACCACAGCCAGCAAAGTGCCTTGGTAGGCTGATCCTTTGCCTGCAGTTCTGGCATCCCATAAGAATGCTGATTCTAGTCTGGGCTGCTCCACTTCCCAATCCACTTCCCTGTTAATGGCCTGGGAAAACAGCAGATAATGAGTCAAATCCTTGGTTCACTGAACCCACATGGGAGACCAGGAAGAAGCTCCTGGCTTCCAGCTGGCAGCGGGGACCTTTGGTGAAGTGAATCAGTAGATAGAAGATATCTTTCTCCCTCTCTCTCTCTCTCTCTCTCTCTCAATTTTTTGTTCTCTCTCTATAACCCTTCCAAATTAAAATAAATCATAAACAAATAAGAGATTACTATAGTTCTGACGCAAAGCTGTAAAAAAAAAAAAAAAAAAAAGTTGTACTCAGAAATCTCACTCTACCTGTCCTGTGCTGGTCTGGTTCAGGCTCATTTCTACCCTTCGTTTCTTCTATTTTCTTTGCACAACTGAGTAAACATACTTTGTATGTTTCTATCATTATTTTTTTCTTAAGATTTATTTATTCTTATTGGAAAGTCAGATACACAGAGAGGAGAAGAGACAGATCTATCTGCTGATTCACTCCCTAAGTGGCCTCAAGGGCCGGAGCTGCACCAATTCAAAGCCAGGAGCTAGGAGCCTCCTCTTCGTCTTCCATGCAGGTGCAAAGTCCCAAGGCTTTGCACTGTCACTGACTACTTTCCCAGGCCACAAACAGGAAGCTGGATAGGAAATGGGGCTGCCAGGATACTAACTAGTGCCCATATGGGATCCCAGTGTGTGCACACCGGGTCCTGTTATTATTATTATATTTATTTACTTATTTGAAAGTCAGAGTTATTGGGGGAGACACACACACACAAAGAACTCTTCCAGCTACTAAGTCACTCCCCAGATGGTTGAGTCGGGGCTTCCTGCAGATTTCCCACATGGGTGGTGAGGCCCAACCATTTGGGCCAGCTTCTTTGTTTTCCCCGACCATTAACAGAAAGCAAGATCAAAAGTGGAGCAGCTGGAACACAAACTGGCACCTATGTGGGATGCTAGCATTGCAGGCGGCAGCTTAACCTGATATGCCAACAGCATCAGCCCTCCCTTTCTTTTACAAAGATTGGCACACTACTAATCCTCTTTTACACTTCGCTTTTAAACAAATGTCCCAGGGGCAGGTACTCGGCCGTGCACCTGCCATGTCCACCTCCTGTGACGGAGCGCCAGCACTGGGCACGATTTCCCACTCTGGCTTGTGCAGACGGGAAGGTAGTGGTGATGGCTCAAGTGACAGGCTTCCTGCCACTCAACAGGAGACTCTCATCCTGTTCCTAGTTGCAAGCTTCTTCTGAGCCAGCTGTGGCCACTGTGAGCACGTGAGGAGCGAACCAGCCAATGGGAGCTCACACTATTTCTTAAATAAATAAAAACTGAAAAACAAACTTGCAGGACATCGCCTCACATCCCATCACATGAGAGCTTCCTCATTCCAGATAACTTTTTGAAAGCTATTTTCTTTCTTCATGAAAAGAATCTTTAGTTTTGTAAGTTATTCAAAGCAGCCGACGCACAGTCAAATTCTAACATCCTAGGGAGTAACACTTTCACCTGCACCACGGGTGCCCATGCTGGCTGCTCCACTCCCTGCACATGCAGTTGTGAAAGCAGAAGAGGCCAGAGCAGCAGGGCCTCTGCCTCCCCGTGGAGACCTGGATAAGGCTCCTGGTGCCTGGCTTTGGCCTGACCCAGCTCCAGTAGTTGTGACCTTCTGGGGAGTGAGCCAGAGGACAGAGGATTAATCTTCCACTGTCAATCTCCTCTCTATAATTGAGTTTCACAAGAAATCAATGTTTTAAAAAAATTTTTTTCTAAGATTCACAGTCTGTCCTAAAAGCGATCTTCTCCAACACGGGCAGCACAGACCTCCTCCTAAGGCTGCCTGTGTCGAAGGCCGGGTACTTGACAACTTCTTAATTGCAAATCACCCTCGTTCTGCCCCCAGGTGGAGGTGCCCTCATTTCAACAGGGACATCTGGCTGTCACTCAGGTGAAACTGTTGCTTGCAAAAGCAAGCTGGCTGGATTCAGTCTGACTCCAGATAGTTAACAGAAACAGGAGGCCAGGAGGCCACGGCACCTTGGCGGGATGGGAGCAGATGGCTGATTCAGGTGCTAAGGAGACTCCGGATAGCATGCCCAACTCTGCAAAGCCAGGCACACCCAGCTCTCCTGTCATCTATCCCTTGGAACCACTTTCAGAGACGGAATGTAAGAGAAAACTGGCAAACTGACAGAATCAATAGTTCATGGCTGTGGCCAGAAAAAAATAAAAAAAGTTTTTGATTTAGAGACCAAATATCCTTTAATGGCTCCCCAAGGAGTATCCTTGGCAGATTAAAATCACCATTACAAAGTGGAGGCAAAGAAACAACAGAGGGGAAGGCAACCCTAATTACTTTTCTCAAATAGTTTTACCCACTCGGGCACCCCCAGTATTGCTGATCCTGACTGATACAGCGCTCTCAGGACCGTGAACACCGCCTTCCAGATGCAGGCTCACCTGTCTACAAGGAGCACAGGAACCAGTGGCAGGGCTCCAAGTGTGAACAGCTCTCAGCTGTGGAGCTATAACGTGTGATGGAGCGGCTGGAAGGCTCCATCCTAGCCCCGGACGCTTCAGCTAGCGCACGCATGGGGAGAAGCTGCGACCAGAACTCCGCCAGAGTAGGCTGAGGTTGGGGAGGCCGGGGGACACAGGTATGGGGGGGCAGTTAGCTCCGGGGGTGGAGGAGGCCCTCCCAGTCACCGGCTGAGGAAAAGCAAAGCCAGAAGCCTCCCACACCCCCAAACCCATTCCTCCACGTCCTACAACACTGGGGCTCGGTCCAGTCCAAGGTGCCAAGGCCGAGTTAGCAGATGACCCTCAGGCCTGGCTAGCACCCCTCTCTCGCATCAGCTCGGGAAGATGCGAAAGACGCTAACTACACCTCTAATGGGACGCTCGGCCCGATCAACGCCCGCCCGGCGGTTCCGACCTGCCGCAAAGGGAGAACCCAGCAGCCGACGCCGCTGCGGTGCCTACCTGCACGCCGTGCACGATGTACACCTTTTCCGCCTCGCTCAGCGCAACGGACGCCATGCTGTCGAGCCGCCCGCGCACCTACGTCATCCGCCCGCGTCGCAAATTCACCCCCCCCGCCGCTTGCGCGCGTCATCAGCCTGCGCGGCGGCCGCTCTCCTGAAGCTGCCGCGGCCGCCGCCACCGCCGCTACCGCCTGGAGCTCCATGGGCTTCTCCTGTGCGCCGCCTCGTGTCTGGCCGCGTCCAGGGAGCCGCGGCGCCGGGTGCCGGGAAGCCATCGCCGCAGCCCGAGACCGGATCCCGGGTCGGGGACTGCAGAGGGAGGCGGCGGCGGGAGCCCCACCGGGGGCCTGGGACAGGGGAACTGCCTCCGGCTTCACGGTCAGTTGGGATTGGAAACTGAGGTTTGGCTTGAGGAAGCTGGGGTGAGGCGAGGGGCCCGGGGCTGGGGGAACTGGGCGGTGGGAGAGGCGCGCGGCGCAGTTTTCTCAGAGTTAGAAGTCGAAAGAGAGAAGAGAGCGCGCCCCGAGCGAGGGGAGGCGGGTGTCGTGATTGGCGGGGTGTGGGGGGGCCGTCTGCTCGCTCCCCCTCCCGCTTCCCCAGTCCTAGGAGTGGTTGGAGGAGAGAGGGGAGAAAGGCTTGGAAGCTCTGTTTCTAGGTCATTCTCGAGGGGAAGGGTCTGTGGCCTGGAGGAGGGGGTCCCGGAGCGTCTCCACCCCAGGAGGAGTTTTTTTTTTTTCTTTCTCTCTTTCCTTCCTTCCTTCCTCGTGGAGCGCGCTGACCTAGGACCTTGCACGGTCTCTTTCCACCTGGGGCGGCTGCTAGAGCCTACTCCTAAAGACCGTGTAAGGGAAGGGTTGTTGGTCCTTCCCCCCCTCCCTGCGCTTCCCACCGGGGACTCCTTGCCTAAATTGGGGGGGGGGGCGGTAGGTGGTGAGCGCTGGGAGCTGTAGCCGGCTGCCTAGAAGAAGGGAGGGGAAAGAATTTTTTTTTTTTTCTTTAAAGCCAGCCCCTGCAGTAGCCGAGTGGGACGACAGGTAGTGAGTGGGCTTTGTCTATCTCCAGAGGACACCGGCAAGGTGAAGTTGGGGGTCACGGAGGAACTCATCCAGGCAGGGGCAGGCAGGGTCCCCCTGCAGGTTATGGAGCCGTCACGCGGGTATAAAAACAGGGAGCAAGCGAACAAGCCCAAGCTGACTGAAGTTGGAGGGCAGTCTGGCTCCCTTTGCCTCAGTCCTACCTCGGAGGGGCCTCCCTCTTCTCAAAAGCGAAAGTGACTTTGAGGCAACAGATTATGGTTAATGTTTTTCAGATGATAGCCTCAAGTACTGACTCTCTTGGGAACCTGCTAGGAATGAGCTTTGTGCTAGTGTTGGAGTACTTAGGCACGTGAAACGCCACCTGCTACCCACAGAGGCCACGGTCCTGGGCAAAGGGGAAGGCTCCAGGGCGGACAGTACCCCGGAGCTGTGGCGGGAATATCTGGGGGAAGTGAGGCGTTGGGAGGCGCTATGAGAAGGGGTTCTGAGAGGAAGTGCCTGCCCACGTTGCATTTTTTGGTTCTTGTGTCCCAAACTGTTGATCTCCGAAATGGATGGGTCATGATCCTTACTAGACTGGACTCTGTTCGTTTCTGGTGTCTACGTGGCTCCCTGCAGATGCTCCTGGGGAGAAAAGACTTCTTGTGCGGTTGGGCTTTGCCTTCCAGTTCAGCTGGGAGAGGTGAAGCCGCAAGGGCTCCCTCCCTAATGAAGGCACGGAGCCCCCACCTGTGGTGGCCCGGCAACACCTGTGTGTGGCTGGGCGGCTGCACACTTCAGGAGAACAAGAGACCCTGGACATGGGAGCGCAGTGGCTGGCAGATTTAGGGATTGAGGCTTTAAAATGGGAAGGGAATGCCTGGAGCTTGAAAGACTGCAGAAGGCTTGTGAAGTCGCTGAGTTCATCCCTACCGAGGCAACCACAGGTAGGACTAGAGAGTCAGTAACTCTGTAGCAGGCAATTTAAAAATTGATAATTTTATACAGCCCACTATCTTATAAATATCCAAATGGCTCTTGGCAACAGAAAGCTTGTCCACCCCTGGTTTTAAATGAGGCAGCAGATTGGCACCTCAGAATGGACACGGGGAAGCCTGAGTTTGGATACACTGGAGGCCTCTTTATCGAAAAACCCTTTGATATGGTTTTTTAAAAAAGATTTATTTATGTATTGGAAAGGCAGATATACAGAGAGGAGGAGAGACAGAGAGGAAGATCTTCCGTCCAATGATTCACTCCCCAAGTGAGCGCAACGGCCGATGCTATGCCGATCCGAAGCCAGGATCCAGGAACTTCTTCCAGGTATCCCACATGGGTGCAGGACCCCAAAACTTTGGGCCATCCACTGCTTTCCCAGGCCACAAGCAGGGAGCTGGATGGGAAGTGGAGTTGCCGGGATTAGAACTGGCGCCCATATGGGATCCTGGCACGTTTAAGGCGAGGACCTTAGCTGCTAGGCCATGCAGCCGGGCCCTTTGGATATGTGTTTTAAAACAAAAACATGTATTTGAATTGTTCCCCTGTCAATGGGCAAAGGATGCCTGGCTGGACAAGGGTCAGCAGGATTTTCCAAGTGTGATGTGTGGTGTGTTAGGCCAGATGGTAGGAAAAGTGTAAATAGTGGAATGTTTTAAATTCTCTGTGAAAACAGTGATGCCTTCACTTAATCTTTTCTGTTGAAATATTGACTGACCATTTTTTATCACCTATATTGCAGTACAATATCAAAATATGTTTGTGAACATATATATATATTTAAGATTTACAGAGAGGAGATAAAGATCTTCTGTCCGCTGATTTACTCCCTAACTGGCTGCAACAGCCACAGCTGAGCCGATCTGGAGCCCGGAGCTTCTGGATCTCCCACATGGGTACAGGGTCCCATGACCCTGGGCTGTCCTCTATTGCTTTCCCAGGTCACAGGCAGGAAGCTGGGTGGGAAACACAAACTGTTGCCCATGGTGCTCATATAGGATCCCAGCACATGCAAAGCAAGGACTTTAGCCACTAGGCTATCGTGCTGTGTCCACAATATTTTTAAAACTCACAAATTTGGAGTTCTCTGTGATTGCCAGAAACATCAAGAAGCCGAAGATGGTACATTATTCTATTAAATTATTGTCCCATCAGAGTTTGGGTGCCATGCTATTTTGTAGGTCTATACTCTTAATTTTCTTTACATAGTGCTTATTTGCTGAGTTTTGCAACGTAGCACTTTATAAAGCTTAATCCTGAAAGAACCTTGTACAGTCTCCCCCCAGGCTCCATTTTATTCATCAGGGTATTTAAGGAGGGAGGCCCATGTTGCGGGATTGACAACTGCCTATGAACTATGGTTCTAACTCCAAAAGTGATGAGCCAGTTTAAACATTGGGCCTACATCCCTTGAATCCTTTCTCTAGAGGAACCCGGGGTGCAATGCTGGTGGAAAGTACATGTGTCGGTTCAGCAGACACTTAATAGACGGGAAAGCAGAATAGAGCTTAACTTCAGGTAGCCAAGGAAAGGTCCCTAACCGGCAAAGAAAGCTGTTAGATCCAGTGTGGACCGTTGGTTGGCATGTGTGGCAAGCCAGGTTCCAGTCATGTGCCGTACGCCCAGAGCTGCCTTCTGTAAGCTCTCCAAACAGTCCAAGTATTTGCATGCCTGTGAGTCCCTAGTCTACCCTAAGCCTAAAGAGATAAGAAAGCCAAACAGCACCTAACAGGAGTTTAGGATTTAATATTGGGATCCCAGGCTCTTGACCTAATGCATGAACAAGACAATAAAGTGCAATAAAATGCTTAGTTGAGCTGTGATAATTAGGAGAGGCCAGCAGCATGTAATAAGGTGCTAATTGTGCAGGCCCAGGAGTTGAGTTGAGAGGTGGAGGGCTGCTGTTAGCCTCGAGCTGGCAACGGTAGCATTATGGAGGCGGAGTAAATCTGTTCCACCTAGCTTTGGTTAATTAAAGCAATAAAAGCAGTTAGGGAAGCCTGTGCTTCCAGGCAGTGTTCTGGGTGTGTGGTGCTGAAGTGGCAGAGAGGTCTTCAAAATCCAGCAGGGGATATTTTGTTCCCAGTCTGGAGCAGACATGGCCAAGTTTTGAGCCTTTTCTCTGCGTTTTTACTGTTGGCCCAGTGCCCTAGAAAAGCACAAAATGAGCTACCGTTTTCCCTGTAGATCTGTTTCCTTTAAACACTTTGCATGTCCTCCCTGTACCTTGCCTTAAAACTAGATAGAAATAAATGGCTGTGACTTGGCCAATATGTCTGTCTTGCTGTAGACCATCTAACTTGGGATTGTAGTGGCAGAAAAACAGTGCAGTCCCATGGGTGAAGGGTCTTCCTGGTGTTAACATTATGAGAAGGTGACAAGGTATCTAATTGGGCAATGTATGTACGAAACGAATCATTATCCAGATTACCAAATCTAGAAATATCTAAACACATACACATCCTGCTACCTATGAAAAGCAGAAGCGTAGGAAGTAGAAAGAAAAGGGTGATGCCTCAATATTGACCTGTTTGAAGAGAAGGCGGAGCTAATGCCAGGTTGCCTCTAGTTCCTTTCCACGTATTTTAATCATTAGCTTTCCTATTCGGAATCAGATTTCCAGAGACAAGCGGCCGGATCATTCACAGCTGTCAGTTGTGAGGTGTATGTCTTAACTCAGTCATGCACCCCAGACGCCTGAAGCGCTAGCGGAATTCCCTCTGTGTGGTCTCCTCCCCTCCGCTGCCTCCGCAGCCTGGAGAGACTTGGCAGCAGAACTCTGCCAGAGACCTGACCATCTCCTGTTCAGGGTCATTTGGAATGGAATGCCTTCCCAGGGATCAGCTTCTTGCCCAAGCCAGGTGAGCCTCATGTGCCACAAATGCTTCAGACCACAGTGTGTGGCAGCACATCTTGATCTTGGTTTGTAAAAAGTGTATGTTTCTAAACCAAGCCATAGTAGCAGAAAGTCCAGAAAGACAGGTTGGTTAGGAAGATAATGATCAATGGTGCAGGAAGGACTGAGCTGCTGGGCCGAAGATGCAGGCTTTGCCACTTCCTTGCTGTGTGACTGAGCAAGTCAGTTAACCTCTCCAAGCCTCATCTGTTGCAAAAATGAGAACCTGGCCAGGTTGTAAAACTCAGAATAGATCTTGGCTGTTAATACATTTACATATTGAGAAACAGCAATATTTATCTTTAGGTTTTCAAGACTTCTCTCATTCATCACTCTGTAATGTTTGACGTCTTTTGACCATGCTTTTTCTTTTAGAAAAAAAAATTTATTGGAAGGCAGGTTTGCAGAGACAAGCATAGCTCTTCTGTCCACTGGTTCACTCCCCAATAGCCACAATTGCCAGAGCTGAA